ATAATGATAATCCCCGGGAAGTGCTACATCTCTGATTTAGCTAAGCAACATAAAGTTTAGTCAGACTGGAACAGAATCTCAACCAAGGCAGTTTGTATAGAAAATAGTTTACAGTTCAATAAAAGCAACTGTACATCATCCATAAGCAAGTACACACACTGTGTTTTTGTATATTAAATGAAGACTATTTATTGTACTTCTGTATAATTTTCTGTTTAGTCTCTTTATTTGTTTCTCATGAACTCAGTTACTCAGAGAATTCAGAATTATTTTATGATTTATATCTTGTTTGAATCTGCCATTATTCTGTAGATATAACTTGTTGCTCTAAGGAAAGTGAGATTTACCTGAGAATACCACACTACTTTATTGCAAATGAAATTTGTTGTTGCTTTTTTTTCTAAGTGAGGGTTTATTTAATCATTTATTGTTAAAATTCTGTTTGATTAAATGAAACCAGAATATTTTTGATTCAGGATATTTGATTTTCAGGGTTACCAAAATTTCTGTTCTTTTATTAAAGCTTTTTTTTTGACAATACTGGCTAATCATTTTATTTTGAGGTTTTAATTATTTATGAGTTGTGTTTGAGATAAATAAATAATTAAAGCTTTGATTAGGTGAAGAACAAATAAGTGGATCAAGACTAAATATTAATATTTTGGTACATTCAGATGAACTGAATATATTTTTGAGCTATCAGATAGGTCCCATAAATAACAGAATATTTGTTCAAGATATTGATTATGAAATCTCTTACTTAACTGAATTGCTAATAAGGAATAATGAGCTGGCAAACAATGATTTATTTTTGGGGAACGTACTACATGTCTGAAAAAGACAGATCAATGTTCTGTCAAAATGTAGTATGTTACCCCAAAATAAATCACTTCATTATACTTATACATTGTTGTTTACCAACTTATTATTATATTCGCATAATGTACTTCCATACTCAAGTATTAACTGAGTTGAAGTAAGGTGAAATAATAAGAATGGACAAAAGTAATACACAAAATGAGCAGTCTTTATTAATACAATAAACATAAACAGAGTGTGCACACTTGTAGAGCACTTGCTTGCCTTAGGTGGCTTTTTTCATATTGATTTAGTAAAGACCAAGGTCAAGACTAGACTGTGTAGTGGAAGGAGATGTTTCAGTCTATATAAAGGGCAGGTTTCTTAGTTTCCAAGAGGTCTCACATTTACCAAGAGTGACTTGTGTTACCTACATGATTGGTCATTCTCATTACAATGTAGGTGGGACCATGACCTCCATATATCACCTGAACAACTGTTGAAGGACACTGCTGCCAACATATGTACACAACATCATAATGTTGTCTGCAGGCAATAACAGGTATTACCTATTTCAATAATAACAAAGGTAACTTGAAACAGGGTCAACTTAACAGTTTTCAACCACATGCTATGTGAAACCTTCACATATTCAGAACAAAGAAGAAATTGAGAATAAAATATAATAACACTGCAAGAATATACAAATGTATGTGTGTTCAAATATCACAATATTAGTTTGTGATTGAAGCAAGCTACATACATAGATCAGAATTAAAAATTAACTGTGTAGTGAACATATCTAATTAAATATACCATTCTTACTTATAATAGTTAGAATGTATTGTTTCATCAAGCAGGTACTCTTGTTAGCTATATTTTTGCCATAAATCTAATAATTTCTCTTGAGGTTTGGCCAGCTTACTGAGAATAGAAGATTTAAAAGTAAGATTAAAGAAAAATATCGAGTATACCTTACTGACAGAGCACATACAAACTAGTACTGTCATAGATTTAATGTTCATTGAAGAACTTAATACATTTCATACTTCCTAACAATGTCTTGTAACCAATAAAATCCCATTAATCAGCTCCAATGATATAATTTTAGGCTTGGCTTCTGAGATAACTTACAGTTTGCCCCAGATAAAGAAAGGTCCACCTTTCAAAAGCACTTGATTTATAGGGTTTTTCATTTTTGTCTTAAATTGATTTGTTTATCCTATATATGTTTTCCTAACATTATAAAGTTACTATAGCATGTTACTATTTAGCTATATAGAGTCAGATAGCAGGATAGTTTAGAAAAACTAATGTTTGTGAAGAAACAAAATAATAATTAAAGTAGATGATTAACTAAATCATGCAATAAATAGCAAGAATATTAATACTCTAATCAAAATATAACCAGGTTAAATGTAATAAAAAGAAAAATAATATATTTAATGTATTCTAGTATTTTTTTCTTTTAGCTTGATGACCTAAGAGAATTAGTTGGAAGTAATCTTACAAAGGTTCAAAGACAGGTTTTGTCTGCATTAATAGTTATTGAAGTGCATTGCACGTGATGTTGTTTTCCACCTCATCAAAGAAAACATTTCAGAGAAAACAGACTTTGAATGGATAAGCCAGTTAAGGTAGCATTAATATTCTATTTTAAAGTCATATATTTACTTAATCGTGATTTTTTTAATTTTTTTATTTACAGCTTTATCAAATATTGCATATTCCATATAGAATCTTGAACTGATATGCATGTATCTGCTAGAACAGGTACTATGATTGAGACTGGTCATAGATACACAATCTCAGGTTTAGAAAAACTATATTAATATAATTAGCAGCAATGTATGAAAATGAATAAGTGTCAATGTTAATGGTTTTACAAATATGTTTCCTTTACAGAAAATATAGGAATCAGTATTATGTAATTGAAAGTTGCTAAATGATTATATTTTAACAGTTGTTGTTTTCACTTTATTATTCAATAAGGTTATAATGTTTTTGTTAATGAAATGTTATTTTGGTTACATAAACATTTTTATTTAGGTATTACTGGTTGAATGACAAATTGTATATACATGCTGTAAATGCTGAATTTTTATATGGTTACGAATACCTGGGAAATAGTGGTCGTCTTGTCATCACACCACTTACAGACAGGTAAAGCATGTAAACGATAATGCCAGTGTTTAAAGATATTAACAACTTGTTCAATATATTGAATGTTTACCATCTATGTTTTAGAAAATAATTCATTTTTTATTCTTTAAAAAATATGTTGTTTAAGTTGTTATCATAACCTGTGTTATAACTTGTTTTAAATAAGTTGAAACTTCAAACTTGTTAAAAGTGGTATTCTATTTCACATAAGGTAACTATTAGATGTTTTTCTTTTGTTGTTTCTGTCTGTTCTTATAAGGTTCATTTCTCAGAAAGAAAGTGAGAATGTTTGCAGAGAAGAACATTTAACATTTACTATTAGCAAGGAAAGAATTGTAAGATTTATAATTATCTCATCAATAATACATATATGGAAATGAGTTAATTTAAATCCTCCACAAAAAAAGAACCAAAAAAAAGGTTTGGTTAGTTTCAAACAACCCCTCCAGACACACACACACATACACCTTAATAATTATGTCATTATGTAAAGTTACAAATGTGAAGGGTATTGTCCCCTTTGTTGTTTAAAAAGGAAAACTGCTTTTAGCAGCTTTAAATGTGTCCCAGTTAAATCAGAAAATGTTTAAGGTTAGCAAAAGTTAGTATTGCTTTAAAAAATGTATAATGTCTCATAATATGTTTGAATGTAATAAACAAGTTATCAAGCATTATGGTTAATTTTTTAAGCAAACTTAGTTTGTTCTTGCTGCATCTTTCAAAAAAGATTTATATTTATAATGCAATTTGATATACCCAAAAATGTTAAGTTAATTGAATATTTAGCAATACAGCAACCATTTGATATTATATATTCTAAATTTTAAATTGGTTCATTTTAAACTAACAATAAAATACTATTTACTGACAATTTTAGATGTTACCTAACACTTACTGGAGCATTGCACTTGAAGTTTGGTGGAGCTCCTGCTGGTCCTGCTGGAACAGGAAAAACAGAAACTACTAAAGTAGTGTTGTATAGTTTTGCTCATAATTGTTAAAAAGAAATGTATTTAATTGTTTCATATTTTTACAATCATTTCTTAGTTAACAATATTTTTAAAGGAATTTGATCATCACACTGATTATAGGTTAATATCATTAACTTTAGTTGTTAAAGGAAGTTTTTGTTTTTTGTTGTTTGCAGTATCAGGAAGTGTTGTTTATGATTTGTTAATGTTGTAGCAATTTTCACAGGAACATCTATCAATGATATTTTAAATTATTATATGCAGGATTTGGCTAAAGCAATGGCTGTTCAGTGTGTTGTTTTCAACTGTTCCGATCAGCTTGATTTCTTGGCCATGGGAAAATTCCTGAAAGGTCTTGCGAGGTTAGTCAACAACAATTCTAGAAAAAATAAAATATTAATGATTATTATTTCAAAATATTTTCTTTTAGAGTTTCTGCTTACTATTATATATTTTTTTAAATATAATACTTAAGAGTAACTGCGTGTGATATATTTCTTTGCATATTAGCCTCCAGAGTAAACATTAAATAATACAATTGGATAGTCATCTTATAACTAAATATAGTTTGTATTTCTTCAATAGTTCTGGCGCATGGGCTTGTTTTGATGAGTTCAACCGCATTGATGTTGAAGTGCTTTCTGTAGTTGCTCAACAGCTGGCTACAATCCAACAGGCTCAACAACAAAAAGTAAGAAGCAGTGACAAATCATAAGCATGAAAGAAAAGAAAAATGTGAAATGCTATATACATAGCTGGAAAATATTATTGATAAATTATACTTACCTTTTTTTTTTCAAACTTGTACACATTTAGTGTAGTTATGTTTTTGCCAAAAATTAAAACATTATAATTTTCTAGATTCTGCTATTATGTTTAATGGTTCTGCAGTGGAGCCTTTATAATGTTTAGAGGTTTTTTAAAAATATGTACATAGTGAGTACAGCTATTAAGAAAAGCTAAAATTGACACTTACACGTTCCTTTATCCCTATGTGCAGGGTTGATGTCAAAATGCATATGCCACAACCTTTTACAGATAGTCATTCAAAATAGTATTTGATGACAGTTTTAACAACTATTCATATTACATTACATTTATGACAGTTTGTGTTGTGGTTGAGGAAAGTAAATACCAGATACAATATACAGAGATACTGATAAAAGTATAAATATGCATTTTGGAAGTTTTAGAGGATCTGCAGACTGTACAATAGACAAAGATATTTGAACATCACCTTGCACTCTGACTTGTCAGAGTCTGAGTCAGACTGATGTCATCAATTTACAGACATATCTTAAGCACAAATACTTTTGTAACACATATAATTTTTTATGGATATACATAGTAAGTTCAGAATTATTTCTAACATTCCTTTTCCAGTAAGGATTCAGTTCAATGGACTGGCTCTGTGCACATCTGGTTATATAGTATGTATGAGTCTACTGAGTGCAATTTTTTTGCTACCTGATATACCCAATATTCCAGCCATAGAACCAAACTTTAATTAGCTGCTAAGAAATTGGGAACAGGAGTTTTAAGGAACAACTCAAGTTTTTGTAGCATAAGATATTGAGGTCATATTGATTTAATGTCATTAAAAAAAGATACTCTGTGATGTGTTATAAGTATAAATAAGTAGTATTTGCCTTTTGGTATGTAGATTCTGCATATCTCTCTTATCTGTAGTATATATTTCATATTTGCACAGTTTAAAAATATTACTAAAATTCTAATTCAAAACATACTAAATAAACCCTTTCTGTGTTGATTACTAAATGCAGCTCTAGGCTTTCTGTAGCAGTTTCTAACCATGTTTTGTATGATAATTATATTGTGTCCATTTACCTTATTTGTGTGGGATTACTATACAACTGTCTCTTGGAGCAGAGCTACTTCTAGATTTTCATGATCAAATTTTTAGTTGGTCAGCTACTTATAGAGAATGTGGAATGTGAGAGCAATTTGATGTTTTTCAGTCAGGTTTGTTTCTGATTTGAGAAAGTCAAGATTTGCTATGGAAGTCTCATTTTTGGTTACTTATCTTTCAACCTGCTGATCATGTACTCATCTTTCATTTCAGTTAACCATCAACAATAGTCACCAGTTTACTTTCAAGTATAGTGTGTTTTCATTTTCTGTTATTTAAATACAATTTTCACCAATGCAGCCAACTTTTACATTTAAAGATTGGACATTCTTCTGTTTTTTTCAAATAAATGAAGTGTTTTTTTTTGCTTCAACCTCGTACTGAATTTGTCTCTTTTTACTCCACCTACTGTGATGTTTAAAAATGTGTATGTTTAAAGCGTAATTTGATATACAAAAGACTTTATTCACTAATGGAGTATACAGCAATATAGTAACCATTTAAAATCACTATGAAGGTCAGAAAACTGTGTGCTAGAATAATCCTTGAACTATCACAGCTTTAACAGAAAATTTAAAAAATGCAAATATTAAAAATTGTATTTAACATTTTTGTGAGCACCTGTAAGTCATCACCAAAATTTTTTCTTTACTGTTGGATACATATATATGTCATCTATTATCTTCTTGCTTTAGTGTCAGACAATTGTACTTATAATGCTAAAACTAGTTTGATATATGAAGAGAGCAGTGCACAAATAGACAGTCGTGTAGCTTTACACTTAGCAACATACAAACAAGTAAAAATTTAATGTAGTTTATGTTGTTTTAATAGTGTAATACTTTGCTTGTAATTACCACATAATAGAAAAAGGAATAGTAATAATATTTTTAAATTATGCTGCTAAATTTAGGTTGAAAGGTTTGTCTTTGAAGGAGTGGAAATTTTTCTTAAGTCTTCTTGCGCTGTCTTTATTACAATGAATCCAGGATATGCTGGAAGAACAGAACTTCCTGATAATCTGAAGGTTAGCACAAGATAATTCCAAAACAACCTTTACTTAGTAAGTTTTTAACATTTCCAAAATTCTCCATAATTAATGAGTAAATATGTCTAACACAAATAGCTACAATTTATTATGAATGGCTTTATGTTCACACTTATGAATGAGTTCTCCTTTAAATAATTATATGATGATATGCAACTCAATTAATTAAAGTTTTTCAAAACCTTTTCAAAATACTAGTTATGAAATATTTTTCATTTGTTATGATTGTTTTTGTTTTTTTCAGGCCTTATTTCGTCCTGTAGCTATGATGGTGCCTGATTATTCCTTAATTGCTGAGATCAGTCTGTTTTCTTTTGGTTTTTCCAATGCAAAGGACTTAGCTAAAAAAATCACAACAATATTTAAGCTATCATCTGAACAGTTAAGCTCACAGGTTAGTACAATCTTCATAAAAAAGTTAGAAAAACAATATTTATACTTCAAACAATTATAAAACAACTTTTTCTTTTAACCAATGTTTTGCTTTTGCAGCTTCTTCAGGATTAGTACATACAATTGTTTGATATTAGAATATTTGATATTAAAGTTTTAAAAAATTATGCAGAACATTAAAAATGTAATGAGACAAATTATTACTTTCACATTCTTCAAAACACAGTGTACTCATTGATGTGTATTTCAGCCATATGTTAAGTACAGAATTTTTCTCCTTAGATGAAAGGTAAAAAACATGTATGTGTGATATTCCAAGGTCATCTGACTTCTATAATAATGTGATATGTTCAGCATGAAGACTATGTTTCAATAACTGTGGTACAGCAACATGCTGACAATTAGGATCTGTTAAACTCGGTTTATTTTTCTTTTCAGGCATTAAGAAATAAATAATCACTGACAAAATTCAGCTGAATTAAAACTTTTCAATTAAAATTATCATAGTTCTGGATTAATATTCCTGCTGTTACTACAGTTTATATCTATATATACTCAGAAAAAAAACCAACACCCACTGTGCTTGTGGAAAGGTTATACAATCTTTGTGTGTACTGGGAAAACCTAGCAAGGACCATAGAGCTTTCATCACTCAGATCAAGTGAGTGGTTCTCATGAAGCATTGAATACCATTTTACCACAAAAAAGTATTCATTAGCTGAAAATAAGATTCACAATACCCTTTCAACTGAGTTCTTGAACTCCTAGCTATCATTTTCAGTTGTACTAAGTATTTAATCTACTGACACCGGCCATCCTAAACTGTGGTAATTGAGCAGCTAGCATTTGATGTTGTATAAACACCTCTTATAGTGAAACTCTGCTTGATAGCTCAGAAAGTAAGGGTCTCAAAGCCTTTATAGTTCAGCTTATCTTGCAATCAACAACCTGTTTTAACTCTTTGTAATCAAGTGGTAATCATACAATGTAGTGTATACGTTTTACCTTACAATACAATCCAATAGCTCAGGAAAGAAGGATCACAATACCCTTTCAACTGAAGTACATCATATGGTAATGTACTGGGTCTTACATCTACTGGCACCAGCCATCCTAACTTATGGATAATTGAATTTATTCCCACCTGTATCAGTTGGATTCAACCAACTATCAGGGCTGTCTCTCTGCTGTAGATCTGGTACTTACTCATCTGGCTTGTCCTGAAAAGCTACATAAGTAGTCTCAGCTCTCTCCTTCTCACCTTCTGGATCATTATAAGATAAAGATAAAATTTTGTTCTTGTCATTCTATAATTTCTGATCAGTTCATTTCACTAGAGGTTTCTTGATAATGTACATATACAATTATTTGACATGTTGTCACATGCTTCTAGACTGCTGTAACTTGTACATTAATGAACCACCTTGTTGGAACATAAAATGAAATCCTGTTCAGCCAGGACCAAACAGCTTCTGTGCTGCTGATATGGGTCAAAACCACACCTATGCTCCACTTTGTTATATTTGTTCCTTCTCTGTCTTTTTATAGCACTTCTACTATCACATGGTGACTTTTCCTAGCAGTTGTCATGCAAACTAGTATGTCTAAACAAATGCAGACTTTAACAACCACATATTCTTGTGGACATAATGAGATGGACCATACATCACATCTACGGGGAGCAAAACTTCCCACCTGAACAGGAGTATGTTTGGCAATGTATGTTGAGCTCTGTTCAGTTGGGCCTGGCATGACCAGGTGGTTAGGGAGCTCGACTCGCAATCTGAGGGTCGCGGGTTCAAATCCCCGTCCCACCAAAAATACTCACCCTTTCAGCCGTGGGGGCATTATAATGTGATAGTCCATCCCACTATTCGCTGGTAAAAGAGTAGCCCAAAAGTTGACTAGCTGCCTTCCCTCTGGTCATACACTGCTAAATTAGGGACGGCTAGTGCAGATAGCTCTCGTGTAGCTATGCGTGAAATTCAAAACAAATAAACTGCTCAGTTGTGCAATACAATAACATAATCTATGCTAAGTGTTTGTCCCAGTCAGTTTAATCAGGATAAACTTATCAAGTGTAAGCTTGACACTTTTTATTATACACTCTACTAAACTATCAGACTGGGGGTGATAAGGTGAAGTGCACATCCTCACCACACCCAATACTTTACACAACTCAAAGAACAGTTGGGTGTTAAAGTGGTGTTTTTTTTACCATTTTGTATATCATATCCTTTCTGGCTACTAGAAAGCTTAAAGGAAACAATTACTTGTCTCTAAGCTAAGAGTTTTCCTACCATGGCATATCTACATACTTAAGTTTTAATGTTGTGGTTATTTTCATGTAAACTAATTATAGCACTTTCTTACATTGTTCTATGATTTTACATTAATTTGTAAATGTATACTAAAGAGTCTTTACAATCTCTTTTTTTTTCTGACTATCCAACAACTTATGCATTTCTTTCTTTAAAACTTATTAAGAATTAAGTTGCAATTTGTTGTCTTAATTACATCTTTTATCTGTTTTTCTAAACAAAAGATGATGATATATATTAGTTTTTAAAATAATTCATAATTATTATATTTACATTTTGTTCAATGTTATTGCTTTTTTAGTTATAACCTAATGAAATTTAAAGCCAGAAAATGAGAAATATTACTTTTTCATTTACTTATTTCACTTTTATCAAAAGGATCATTATGACTTTGGAATGAGGGCAGTGAAGACTGTTATAGCAGCTGCTGGGAACTTAAAAAGAGAAAATCCCTTACTAGATGAAGAACTTATTGTTTTGAGAGCTATTCAGGATGTAAATGTACCAAAATTTCTAGCTGATGATATAAAATTGTTTAATGGAATTGTCTCTGATTTGTTTCCTGATGCCAGGTGGGTGTAAAAAAAGATTAATTAGTAGCATTAATTATAATTTCTCAGTTTTACCAAATGATAAACTTGTTAATTATTATTTTAAAATGCTGTAATGTAGAATATAACTCTAGACTACCAAGAATTAGTCAAAATTGTCTAATTTAACTACCTCCCTGTGTAGTTGAAATTATACAAGAATTGCAGTGAAGGTAACATGTGACCACAAAAGCCAATATAGCTTTTTACTAGTGTAGCGTGTATCAAGAATATTTTCTTATTAGAAGACTGAGAGGGCAGCACCTTATTAATTACTGGGATTTTATTGATATGAATTAGACTATGATTGTTTCTTAACTACATAGGCTATAAAGAACTGTGGTTTCAGCTGGTTTGCACTAGTTACATGAGCTTAGTTGTCAAATTTATGTCCTGTTGAATGAGAAAAGCCTGCTTGTTAAATGGGACGTCTACAGCATAAGCAATCTTGGACTTTATAGTCTCTTGACATTATCCCTCTATTGGATTGTAGAGTACACTGTTATTGTAAGTTTGAGCTCTTGTATCTTGTACAAACTGTTGTTCTTTGAATAATATACAATATTGTAATTAAAATAACTGATAATTTCACTCTTCTGTAACTAGTTTAGAAAATTTCTGTTGTAAAGTATATTGGGATAATTTTTTTAACTTCTTATGCAAGACATATTTAGCTATGACATTCTTGTTAACCATATTTTGAAAGGTCATAAACATCTGCTAATTACATGTTCTGTCCCTTGTTTATGATATATGGAATAGTCAGTCACATAGGTACTTCATGAATTATGGGCTACTGTACTTGTACCTTTTGTCTCACTTGAAAGTATGGTATCATATAATTCTTTCTGTTATGGTCCAATGTAATCACCTTAGGAAATCCTTCTCAAGCCCCAGCAGACAATGGAGTTACAATAGAAATCTCTAACTTTTTGTGAATAAAGATTTGTTCCTTGTGTTTGTTTCCTTTGCTGTTCATGTTTGGTTTATTCTCTCCATAACGTTTCTGAAATCAGCATTTTGTGAATACTTTAAACTTATCTCTTCAATAGAAATCAGTGTACCTGAATCTGTTATATGTCAAGTATTTATCAAATTTTATTGTGAAATTACGTCACATGCACAAATACACTACCAATCAACAGTTCATGTTTTGCCAGCCTTAGGATTTATTTACCATGGCAATTGATATACAGTGAATAACTGATATGGTGTATAATTATACCATAAATTTTCTGCCTTCTTATATTGATATAGTATTATTCTAACTTCATCACTTATTCAGATTTGTGCAGTTTTCACATACCATGTTGTCAAGAAAGGTATTAAGTTGATTTTGTTTTAGATGCCTTTGTTTCTTTATCATTCTACTGAGGTCATATCTATTCTGCTTATGGGAGGAATGGCTGTAATGCTGCATATAGTGCAAGAATGCAAGCAGCATGTTTTTTATGGTAGGTCAAGTGTTGTCTTAGGGTTACAGTATTCCCTGTATTTGAATGAGAATGGCCAGTCTCATGGATAGTGCTAGTCTTTCTGAGAAGTAAGGAACATTAGATTTAAACAGTCTTGTATGTGATTTTGAATAACTTAGTTGAGAGAGAGAGAGAATTGTTCTGATACAATAATAGCAGTAGTCCATCACCTAAGCAAGTACTCACACTGTTAAACTTAGATCAGCTAGTTTAGTAAATTTAGGTTAAGTCATAAAACCATAATCATAAACTAAGCTGACATTGTGAAATAATTGTTATAGTAATAAAACAAATCTGCTAAGATTGAGAAAGTTACCCACTGTAAAAACAACAAAACTTGCATTACTGTTGTTAGTCATTTCATTATAAAATAGCTGAGGGAGGTTACATCCTTCAGGTATTACTTTCTATACTAGCTGTAAAACCTTTATTGCCCACTTCTATGTGGTAAATTGCACGTAACACTAACATGGAATTATCCATAAAAACAAGCAACAAGAATAAGAGAAGATTAGTCAGTTTTTCTGAACAATCAACCATTGTTAAGACTGTACATATCTAGAACCTTGCATATGTTAAAATTTGAAAATTCCTTTGAACTTTAAGAGTACAATGTAGTAGGTAACAGTAAATGAAAAATATTATGTATGTGCCCGCTTACTGTGTGCAATACATCCATGACGGTTCACTCTAATAATGAGAAAAGGAAGCAACAAAATGGTGAACATGACAAAATAATTAGAAGAACTAATACAACTTAACTAATGATGTAATGTTCTTTTATACAGTACAATAAGTTTGTTTGTAGTTAAGCACAAAGCTACACAAAGGGCTATCTGTGCTCTACCCACCATGGGTATTGAAACCTGGTTTCTGGCATTGTAAGTCTACAGACGTACTGCTGTGCCACTGGGGGGCCAGTAAAGTAAAAACTTAAAGGTAGTACTAATGGTGGTTTTTTATTCCTTAAATAATTAGTTAAAAAATTAATGTGTACACATGGTAATTTTGAAAGATCGTGATATTCAATAAAACTACAAAACCCATAATTGGTAGCCAGAAGATTATTGAATTTCCTGCAAAATTGAACAAATTTCTGTTTCCAAATGAATGAGAGACAGTCGTGATGTGTGAACATTATAGTGCATTTATTAGCTCTGTCCATGGTATTTTGTAATGCTGAACAAATTCTAATGTACCTAATAAGTTGTGAATAGTAAACATTGTTATATAAGTTTTTGAAATATTTGTATACAGAAATGAAAAACTTATGACTTCAAAAATTAAAAGTGTTTGTTTTGTTGAAAACTTTGAAATTAAATGTTTGATAAATGATGTTGATATGGTACTTTGCTTTGTTATTTATTTGTAAATTCCAATATGCAACTTGTGAAATTATCTTTTATAGTATCCCTTGAATTTTTTGGAAGACATGTTAGCCAAACTGTACTAATGTCTTTTCAATTAGTCCCCCCCCCCCCTCCCGTGGTCGTACGCGGTAACGGTTTACTAAAATAAAACCTACTAGTCTAAACTACTTGGTTTCGGGTTTACGTTACGTTTCCT